GAACACAGTTGCAGATCATGCATCTGTACTTAAATGTAAGTATTAATTAAGTCGTGTGACTTTGTTTTGTTGTCAAAACAAAGAATCCATTGCCTCGTTGCAGAACCAATGTTTAATAACAAAAACGTTTCTTTTGTTATTGCTGTCGTTTATGATTTATAGCCTTTGAAACGGTTAAAAGACTCATATGGCATGACGATAAATTGGTTTCAATTGACTTCATTTAACGGACAGATCACCACAAAGAACGTGTTTTAATCGTTTTATGTTTAACATTGGTTCGCTAATAATTAGCCTTTGTTAACATCCTTCTGCAAACGAACTCTGTTATTCTCGTAAGCAGAATAAACTAGCAATTTTTATTGAAGATTACATTTCTGTTTTGTTTTTTTTTAGACTCTATGAAAATGGCTTATCATGAGATAAACGTACAGATAAAGAATCTTAAAACACAACAATTCGGCAGGTGTATAAACCTTATAAGTTATTTACGAATACATCAAAGATAATTCAACGGTGTTGTGTTGTTTTTGTTTTTTCTCTCTTTGTTCGTGGAACAAGTTTTCTGCTAATAACGTGGAATGAACTAGTCCGCGAATTAGGTTTGCACAACTGATAACTATTCTTCAGCGGCATGTATCGTCCTTAGATTGGAGAGTTGTGTACCAAGCAAAGTTAATTTATATGGCTACTGGCCAGTTACAGGTTCAGAAGCCACTGCCTTTGGTGATGCAAGACTTCAAAATACCTAGCAGATGTTGTTTCATTTATTTATTTTTCTTTTTACAAATTTAAAAGGTTAACTTTCTGGCAAGAAACTTGGGAATGGAATGCAAAGTTTTAGGAAAAGGATGATCTTCTATGATATATTTTTTTCTAATCTCGGCTGAAAATTATTTTCTGTACTTAAAACGGAAATTTACCACGGCTTCGTTAACGTGGGAAATGTCTTTTACCATGGTGTTTGTAACTGTACCTTATAGGTCCTTATATGTGGCAGAATGCTGATTTACTTGTAGTCCTTGTAATACTTGACCATGGTGCTCCCTTACAGATCAGATTTTTTGTATAATCATTGGAATTATTTTTCTTACGAGATATGATTGATCTTAGTCACTTCAAATAACTGTGTACGGACAATGGTTTGCTCATGCGCAGCACAGAAAAAAAAAACTGTTTTGCTGTGGATAATGCCCTTTGCATCATTCAGTTTGGTCCATGTTTTCAACCCTCGCATCGCGACAGTAGTGACTTTATCCAACAGGAAGGCAAGAAAGAAGAGGTGGCATTGACAACGAAGCCTTAAATGTTCTGCATCCCTTTCAGTTGTAAGCTCATCTATAGATCGTTTTCACTGTCACGCAACGAAAAAATAAATTGGAAACCATCCTGTGGAGGAAGCCAAGAAGATGAAATGTTATAAAAGACTAATATATAAACAATTTGTCCAAGTCTCGGGTCTTTGTGGCCCACAGTTTGTGAGTTATTTGCCGAAACGTTTCACGCAACTTTGTAGAGCTTTGTAGCCATATTGGTGGACCGCTTTGGTCCACCAATACGGCCGCCGGAAATCAACAAAAACATCTGGAGTTTACATTTTCTTTAAAAGCTCTTTCTTTTCACTCAAGAACTAGCCGTACGTGCCTATAAACATGTCTTCTCATACTTAAAATCGTTATACTGCTGAAAATCAAGAGGAGAGGCTCTTTTTTCAACGAGACAGCATTCCTATTTTGATGTCACGTACTGTGAAAATTCGGAAGTTCAAATTGCTGTATTTTCGAAATGAAACATGCTACGGGAATGGAAACTTGTACAAAGATTTACTTTTTGTTTATCTTCAACCTAGTGTAAATCAGAATGCGTAAAACCTCGCTATTTTGACTTTACAATTAGTTGACGTCACTGTGAAAACCATCTATAGCACCATGCATACTTTGACATAAAGAATAAATCCTTTTTTCCATAAATGTTTGAAGGCTTTGGAATTAGCTGTGTTCCAGTCTCTCTTCGCTTTGCCCACTCCCTTGGAGGTGGTTTTCACTGTTGGACCTGTGAAGAGAGACGTCGAGGAAACTTGGAGTCTTATTTCTAGTCTCCGCTCAATGCTCTTTAAACACGTTAAAACTAATTTTGTGCATTTTGAAAAGTGTCTCTGGATTATTTGTTATCCGGAAAGGATAATTGGATTGAAATTTTGTGGTGATTCTAATATTAAACATCCTCGGTTTTGTCAAAAGAGTATTTACTGGTCAGGTGAAACAAACTTTCCTTTGTATGTAATAAATCGATCTGTATATTGGAATCTGAACTCGGTCTTCGTCACGTTCATTAGGAAACAACCAGTAAGAGTTGTAACTCACAGAACCAGAATATTAAAGTCTTACATTATGTTACATATGAGGGCCCTCTCTTAGTATTAAACTGAGAGAAAAAAGACCTGGTTAACGGTAAAACGTATACTGACTAAGATGACGAAAGGCTTCATTTTTAGGTGACAGTCTCCTTGTCGGCAACCAAATTTCTAGATGCTGCAAAACTACCCTGAAAAAAACAGCCGACATTTGGCGAGGCCACCACTGGTTTCCCCGCGAAATACCAGTAGCAGCCTCGAGAAATATCGGCTGTTTTCTCAGGCTGTTATAGGCTTCTTCCTTTGCTTAGTCTGCTTAGTCCCGGTACGGCGTCTTCCCAGGTCTTCTCGGTCAATGCATTTCGGTTACGTATCCCCGAAACGCATAGGCCGCGCGGAATAATGAGGCCTGGGGACTAGGTGAGGCGAGTTCATTTGCCGGACAGTCACCCCAATTGCTAGAGATTTTTCTGGCTAAGAAGAGAGTTTTCCCGAGCGGATCGTGTGGGGGCTCCACCACCAATATCCCGGATAAGGAGCCCATAAACCCTGCCCGGACATATAATCCCGTCTGTAATCCCCTGCTCTCGATCTCCTGTGACTCAAAATAAAAAGAAGGGACTACTCTCAGTCTACGTCGTCAGCTATGAAGGCTAAATGTTTGATAGACTGGTAGAGGGGCAGGAGCTGCCCGTTTGAGCTATTGCAGCCAATTCAAGGTCACCAGAAATTAAAAAAGCAGCAAATAAGTTAGAGGTAAGCTAAAACTGAATCCAGTAAAATGTAACTGAAAATTTTAAAACTAGCAAACCCCCAAGAGAATTGTAACTCTCGACCGTTATATGAATCGATGATCATTTTTATTGGGCGCACCACCAAAATTTTCTGGAATCGATAATCTTAAAGGAGATTTTCCATTGTTGGTTTTCCATCAAAAGTGCAATAGGTCGCATTATAACTGGCGATAGCATGAACCCTCCCCCTCCCCTAAAAAAACCCTTAATTTTCCTTTGAAGACAAAGGGCTTGATTGTAACATCGAGGTCTTACAAGTCTCAGAATCGAATGAAAGGAATGAACAAATCTCAGTTTTCTTTCTTTCTTTCTTATTTTGAAAATAAAAGAGGGTGAAGATCAGGGATGAAGGGATTAAAAGTGGTCTGGAATAATGGTAAAAAATGAAGGATGAAAGAGAAGCATATAATCCTGTTCAGAGTAAGATGCTTCTTAGGATTTAAAACAATCATTCTCTCTTGGCCTGGACCATTTCCCCTTTGTTGCTTAGGCTTAACATGTGCACGTGCACTCGTCGCAATTCTGTCACACCAATCAAAAGAAGAAATATGTAAATCATGATACTCCATAGGTGTTTTTCAATACAATAAATTTCATTGACTTTTGTAAAAAAAAAAAGGAATAATGAGTTAACTTTATTCACACATGCGCACTGCCAAATAAGCTCCAAATGATTTTTGAATTGAATCAGTTCTTAACGGCTTCGTAGTTTGCTGGGCTTCACATGATGGCTGGATTGCTTGCGTTTAAAGCCTAAAGAAAGGTAAAGGTCCAAGTAATCAGTTCGTTCTATCGCAAAGTATGAGATGATAACTGTACCAGAAACACAGGAGATTCGAAAACGTAAATGCCAGCTATTGCTAATTTAACACCATCATCTCTTCTAGTGTACTAAAAAAGGTGCCGAAGAACTTGCAAGAATACCACGCTAATAAAAATGTGAACTTAATGAGACACTTTTCGCTGTGGTTCTGGCATTGAAACTTATTTTTCCATTTTTCTTCAGGTTTGACTTGAAATCGCCTGCATCTGACGGCAAATCCCGTCAGCTCTATGGCAGAGAAACAAAGCAAGAGATTTAAAAAGGTAACTGTCTAAATAAAAAGTTATATTTATGCGTACAATCATTAACAGATAGATGAAAAATGAAAATAAAAAAGGAAAGAAAGAAAGAAACATGGCGTTTGACGGTCTTAAAAAACTGCGGGTTTTATAATGTAGACATCCATTTATAAAACACATGAAAACAGGAGGCATGCAGCTATAAGTTTCAGCATAGTAAGCAATCACCAGCATATTATGTTATCTAATTTTACAGCTTGAATGGAGTAAGGGAAAGTCAGTTGCAGTAAAAAGATGGCTTTACTGTTCTTGTTTTCTCTCCGCGTGCTCGTAATTCTAAGTGTTTTTTCCTAGTTGCCAAACTTGAACAACCGTCAAAAATTCTTATCATAGAGCAAAAACTATGAATCTTACTAAAACCTAAAGCCTGTATGTTTATTTGGGCTATAATTGTCGCAAAGTGACGTGAAAATCCCCGATCATGCAAAAAATGTTTAAAATGGGACTTTCTTTTAAGTGACCATTATCTTATGCTTTTCTGCGGCTTCGAATGCGGAGATTCACGTCATTGATTGATATATGTAAATAAATAAAACGTCGACTATCCAAAAGTTTTTCTCCTCCTTAAAATGTATTTTTCTTGAAGCCATAACGAATGATAACAAGTAAACAATACCACTAAAAAGAGGGGAGCGGGTGGGAGGGGAGGGTTGAGGAGCGGGGAGGGGTCACTGAAGGGGTCACTGTTCTCTATGTAAACTCGTCTCCAGGGTCTTTTCGTGTTTCAAAATATGGCGGCTGCGGGAACCGCAGTTTGCTGGCAAACCAAAGCCATTTACTTTGAGCTGGAGACTCATATGAGCAAGTCACGATCGGTGTGGATTCTTTAGGCAATTACAGAGTTCGGCAATGCAAAAGTGGGTAAGATTTCTTTTCAGCCCCATATATTTATTCAATTCACGGAAGTAAGTAAGTAGTACATGTAAGCTTAACAAGCGCCATATTTATAAGGTATCATCCACCCTCAAGCACCCTCATCGCAATGATCGGCGTTAGCGCTTTTGCTTTTGATGAATACCCCCATTAATCGTACATTTTATGAAGGCTTAATAGCTCCGGATTATTTGCTTATTCCTTTTAAAAAATCAAAATATTAACGCGATTCAGAAATGATCGTGAGAAACTTTTTGTGAAAGTGTGCTACCGTAAATTTAAGTCCAGGCCAGCCAACAATAAACGGAAGAAGCCAATTAAGATCGCATTCGCTTCTTAACACGTTTGACTGAAAAATTCGGTCTCAGATTTTTGTCAAGTGCGTTTGTTCTTTTGTTAAGCTAGGGATTGCAAATTATTAGCACTATATCTGTGAAGAAATACTCTAACTCGAAAACGAAAGAAGAAATCAAAATTGGCAGGCACAAAGTTTTTTAGAAAAAACTATCTGACAGTAAGTTGGCCAAATTTCAGCTAAATTGGTTCACAGGTTGCCGACTTGGAGTTTAAAACGTACTCTCAACTTGCCCTGATTTTCATTTCGAGAAAACAGAGAGAAAAGATTCTTGGCACCATATATAACACCAAAGCTGTCAATGTTGATGCATACCAGAGAAGGGACAACAATAGTGACACAGCAGGAAAAGGTTACAAACGAAACCCGACAACAGATGAACAATTTATTTCAAAGGCTCTGCTCTGTTCGATTCTTTCTGTTGTTAAAAAAGCATCATTAATAATTAAATAATAATTTAATACTTGCAACAGGCAGTTTTGATTTTTCACCGGACAAGCCAAGTTGAACCCAGCCCACTTTTACTCGATACATTTTTTAAAAGTTTGACACTTCCCTGGCAAAATCGACAACATACCGCTTCCTTGAGTTTTCTTGAAGCTTCTCTCCCACTACATGTCCTTCGTCCAATTTTTATATGAAGTGGGACCTCTCACGACTTCATTGCTCATTTGGCCACTTTGCAGCCTAAAAAGCTCACTCCGCTCACTAAGAACTCGTGAGGTCAACTTGTAGCTAGTCTACCACTACAATAGCACGACCATTTAACCTTTGCCACATTTCTTCAGTCGATGGTGAGGTAGTCTGAATAGCAGGCGCTGGTTTGTTTTTTTTAGGGCGAAGAAAGAAAGCAACCAATTCCGTGTAGTTTCAAGGGGTTTTTCAGAAGCTTTGTCATCTTTTAGCCATTTTTCTTGATTGTAATAGGAGCCCGCGTCGCTCTCTGCCAATTTCGAAGCCCACTCTTTGCAAAACGATTTTGTTGTCTTCTTTCATCTCGGAGTCGAGTCCGAAATGCTGCACCCAGCAACATATGTTGTAAACTTACCTATGCATTTTGAAGAATATTTTTTATTTGCACAATGAGCCTGACGTTTTGAAGATCTCGTCAATTCACTGGTCAAAAACCAAACTATTTTGCATTTTTACAATATTGCTTTGATCTCCAAGAAAGTTTCACCTTTTCACTGGTAGGCAGGATCTAGCATGTACGCGTATTCTCATTGATCGTATCGCATGCAGTGACAGTGGCTAAAGGTTGCTCTGCATGCACAAGATCTCATCGAGTTCTGCTATACTCTCAGTCTGCAGACTGGTTCAGAACCACTAATTAATTAATTGTGACATCCTTTAAAGCAAGCAATTATTAGTATCAATATAAGAAGGAGGTAGAAAACAGGAGGCAAAATAATAATTTTAAACTGACCTACAAACATCAACAGCAGCCTTTGATTAAACTTCGACTTCTACAATGCATCAAATAAAGAGAACTTAACTAATTTGCTACAACCTTAGTCAAAAAAACTTGAAATATTTCTGTTTTTTAGGCATGCACAGTGCAGTCCCCTCGCCGCTTTCAGTTTTGTTACAGAGCGTAGTTTGGGAAAGCTTGAGAAGGGGGAGGCAGGGGAAATTGACTGAGTGTCTCTACTTTTTTATACCTCAGTGTTTCTGAGTCAAATGTGTGAGATCTTCATCTTGTCATGACTTGGAGTTCTGAAAATAAAAACGTATTGGTGACTTCAAAAAGATTTCTGACAATTTTCTGAAGAGTTCTGAACATTGCTGAAATTGTCTGAAGATGTTCCAGCGAACTTTGAGAGCTTCCAAAGCTATTTAAAAGTGACAATTTTAGCTTGTTTTGTTTATGGCACTTCAAAGTTGTTATTCAGTGCCATCATTCACTGCAGGTATACTATTTTTCCGGGTTGTGGATTAGCATTCACACCCAGAAGTACAGGTCCCTGCAACTCCTCATAGTGACAGAGCAATAAATAACAGGAAAAAAACTTGACAAAATAGTCCAGTTGGTCTAGCAGAAAGTGTGGAGAAGCACTGCAGTATCATGTATAGAACCAAAAAGAATAGCTAACATATCAGATTACATTTACAAGAGCATTGGATAATGTAGGGCACCATTTCTTGTTTCTTACCAATTGTCATTGTCACTTTAGTTCATAAAAATGTTCATTTCTTTATCCCTTACAGATAATGCTTAGTGATCAGAAGAATGCCTAAAAGAATTTATCCAACAAGAATAAAAATTAAAGGTAAACGACCTATAAATTATAGTTTAGTGGTGACCTTGATATAACAAAGGTTAAAATGTATCTAAATTTGGTCTGTAAATGTAGACCACAGACCAGGTACAAAAATTAGAATGCAGACTGAGGTCAAAACAGCTGAAAAAACAAAAATCCTTCTACATGTACCCTGTTTATCTGAGTGCATGGTCAGTACAGAGAAAAATTGTAGACAAACTGTTTGTCACATGACCTGGTTGACCGCAACTACTCTTTCAGCCACACAAACAGCAAAATCTTCTCTTTTCATTCTTTGCTGATTTTAGAAAAGCTTTTGATCGTATACCCTGGCAGAACTATTTGATGAACTGAGAAAAGAAGGTTTTCAACGGTGTCTCTTAGAAGCATGCACATGTATGAGTGCATGGATACAGGGCCCAAATATGTTTTGTACTTTAAGCTAAATTGACTATTGCAAATGAGGGTAAAACACCATAAGAAAATTAGAAATTAGGCTGTCATTTCAAATAACTACTAAAAATACAGGGCACCCATTTATAACAGCTTCAGCTGATGGGTTTACCCTGGTTAAATATGTTATTATTATTATTATTAAATAAAAAAACAGGAGAAAAGAGACAGAAAAGTCAACAGAATACCAAAAATCATGTGGCCCTACATTGTATCAATCCCTTTCTGTTTTTTGTTGGTTGTATGACAGTATTAACTACTATTTTGGCTTGTTTGAAGATAAACCCTGCATCCTCACAGTTTGTTACTAAGAGTTGTTTTAAAATAATTATTTTTGTCACAGTCCAGGCTTTTTGTACCTAGCAAATCTGTACTATGTACACTGCATTTTGTACCCTGTTTGCAGTCTGTGGTCTGCATTTTGAACTGACCATAAAAATTATTTAAGAACTTTACAGGATTAAAGTATAGCTGAATACAGTTTGATACATGTAGGTTGTGGATCTTTTCCTTTTATTAGGTTGTTAAGTAAGACTCTTTTCAGGTATAAATATCAAATTTGGCTAAGGTGGCATTATTTTCAAATAAATTTTTGACGTGACATTCATTAGAGTAAAAATGAGGTTTGGGTTGTTGCCATGGTAACATGGATGATTGAAAACAAGCCTAAAATTTTGAGTTTGTAACCCTCATTTCTTAACCAAATTGTAACAAACAGTTTTTGAAATTTTAAAGAAAATAGCTTTCTTGAGAAACTTGACTGTGTCACCACACTTCTTTCTTTATTCAAAATTTATTTTAAGGCTTTCATTGATTCAGGAGTGCAATATGAAAAGTTTGTCAAATTTTAAGGAGTTTATTACAAGGTTTTGTTTTTTTTACATTGTCTGTGAAAGTCGACAAAACAAATGCTCTCACATTGCTTCCAAAAAGTAGTACTTTGTGTTCTTTCAATTCGGGTAGACTGCTAAAATAGCCAGGGGTTAATTAGGGCTGGAAGACAAGGCATAACTAAGTTTGTGTGAAATAATACTGATATTAAAAATGTAGCAAGAAATGTTTACTTCTTCTAGCCTCCCCACAGCCTTCTTTTGGGGTTATAAATGTGTGACAAACGAACCCCAAAGAACCTCTGCGGGGAGGCTATACTTCTTCTGGTCAAAGAGTATTTCAGTAAATTGTATTCGCAGTTACTCTTTAAATGAGTTCATTGTCTTACTTTGATAAATTTTCTTCTTGGTTTACTTCATGTAGATAACAGAAGAGGCTGAACTGACACAAAGTGAGGACACAAAACTAAGATATTTAAAATGTAAGTGCAGACTTGAGTGCTTAGATTACAACCAAAAGAAATAAAACCCTCCCCCATCTTTCTCTCGGCATACTTGACATTTACCTTAAAACTTATCTTAATAATTGAAATCTCTTGTCAGAGAAAGTTCCCAAAATCTTGGCAAAATGGCTCCTACCTTGGTGGTTACATACATGCCAACTCTCCCGTATTATCCGGGAGTCTCCCGGATACGACACCAATCTCCCTGTCTCCCGTACGGGTCACCATATCTCCCGGATAAAATCATCTTTTTTGCTTTTCTGTGCCTTAGTTTGAGATTTAGCCCATTTTTAGCTCAAAACTTGAATTTTTCTTACACGTAGTATGGTTTCTGGGGCATTTTTGCACTTATTTAGTCACTGACAAATATTATTTCTGGCATCAAAATGATGATCGTGAATTTTGATGGTTTGTACTTCATGTAATACTTCATATAATGTCCTCAGGCATTCCCATATTTATCGGGGGGGTTGAAAAAGAGAGGGTCTCCAGATTCTAGTTCTCCAGAGGTTGGCATCTCTGTGGTTACTCTTTTGTTTCTTGCTTTTAACAGTTTGGTGTCAGTTAAAACACTGGATCAATGTATATCAACTCGTTAAGATAATTGACTGAAAGACTCAACGTAAGGACAAGTTTTCTGACAGAAACTGGTAGTGAGAGTCTGCAGTGGTCAGAGGTAAGAACCAAAATAGCACCTAAGTTACAGTGTACACTGTACCATGGTACATCTATTATAAAACTAAGGATTTATTAACAAACAGTGCACCATCTTCGACTCCATGAATTAAATATAACAAGGTGTCTAGACTTGGATTGGCAAAAAGTTTTAGCATTTTTTTTCTGTTAGGGGTTTTTTACTCTAAAGTGTTCAAATGAGGAAGGCAGGGTGCCAGAACTATTCCGTCTCTGTCTGAAGAACTTTTGTTCTTGTTTCTAACCGTAAGACACATTTTGGTACAGATCTGTGTTTGTGTGAGGTTATTTATTTGAGGTCGTCAAATACTATGTATTTTGAGAAGGGTTAAAATCTTTCCAAAACAGCCACTGTCACAAAAAGAAAATCACAGTCAGTTGTAATCACTTCTTGTATGACATTATAGCACAATGTGGGAAATGTATGGTCATCTGAAAGCACAGGTAGCCCAAGCTCACTATGAGAGCCGTGAACAACATTATCCTACTTAGCTAATTAATTATTCATACAGCAAGAAAATTATAAGACGTTGTATGGAGAAATATTCTTTGCTCACTAAATTAGCAAAATGTACATTGAATATCGCTTTGAAGCTTACTTTTAGCGTCTTCTTGTTTTTCTTTGTATTCTGACTGCATTTCAGACCTCCTAGGCACTGTTTAAGGTCTTTTTTGGAGCGACAGTTTTTCACCCAGATGACAGTAGAGAGAAGAGAAGAGAAGAGAAGGTTGGCAAACCTCTCTTGACCGGCTCCGCTCTCGGAGGCGATAAATTCCGTAACATTTGCGACATGGAGACGATTCCGCCAGAAACAGATGTTCTAATAAATAATGCACATTTTCCATCATTCATATCGCCAAAATTCCCATTTCGTAGGTCCTAAATCGCCAACGAAGTGGGCAATACACGGCTGAGGTGAGGCGAGTCGAGAGCAGACCCGCAACGGACTCCAACCGTCACGTCGACAATTCAAACCGACGCGGGCTGGCGGGGTCAAATTGTTCAACCGTCAAAGGACAATTGGAGCATTTAGCCTACTGGGCACAGTAACTGATTTTTCACTTCTCACATTATACTCCAGGGTCGCGGAAGTCAAGCATCGCGTGTGATAGTGACATATAATATCAAAACATGTCGCGTTGTTAATGTTAATGTTTTCTGCCATGATTGATAGTAGCGTCAAGAAATCCAATCAATACAAAAATAGCTACTACATTTGGAATTCATATTTCAGAAATAGTTTGCTTGGGCTGTAAGCAGCTGATGTATAATTTAATCTTAAAATTGGTGTAGCTAATGTGGCAGAAATACCAAGAGAAAATTCAAAGAAATATTTATTTACATATTTCCTTTCCGTAAAAACACTCACAATAGATAAGAGCACCTGCCGGAAGATCCTGTCCCCAAACTTGCTACTTACTGAAAAAGGGAGGAAAAATAGCTAACAACTGTTTACAGCCGTAGTAATTCTTATTGCAAAATTTTTTTCTAAATCATACATAAAAAACCATTGTCAAACGCTTTTTAAAAAGAAGAGTAGAGATCAAATCATTAACAACGCGACATGTTTTGATATTACATGTCACTATCACACGCGATGCTTGACTTCCGACCCGGAGTGCAATGTGAGAAGTGAAAAATCAGTTACTGTGCCCAGTAGGCTAAATGCTCCAATTGTCCTTTGACGGTTGAACAATTTGACCCCCGCCAGCCAGCGTCGGTTTGAATTGTCGACGTGACGGTTGGAGTCCGTTCTTGGTCTGCTCTCGACTACGCCTCACCTCAACCCGTGTATTGCCCACTTCGTTGGCGATTTAGGACCCTCTGAAATGGGAATTTTGGCGATATGAATGATGGAAAATGTGCATTATTTATTAGAACATCTGTTTCTGGCGGAATCGTCTCCATGTCGCAAATGTTACGGAATTTATCGCCTCCGAGAGCGGAGCCGGTCAAGAGAGGTTTGCCAACCTTCTCTTCTCTTCTCTTCTCTCTACTGTCATCTGGGTGAAAAACTGTCGCTCCGAAAAAGACCTTAAACAGTGCCTAGGAGGTCTGAAATGCAGTCAGAATACAAAGAAAAACAAGAAGACGCTAAAAGTAAGCTTCAAAGCGATATTCAATGTACATTTTGCTAATTTAGTGAGCAATGAATATTTCTCCATACAACGTCTTATAATTTTCTTGCTGTATGAATAATTAATTAGCTAAGTAGGATAATGTTGTTCACGGCATAGTGAGCTTGGGCTACCTGTGCTGAAAGATGATAGGAGAATAGGAGGATAAAAACAGGAAATGTGGCAGTTCAATGTTCTCAATGTGGCTTGGTCACTGGAGCCAGCAATAGCATAACCCTTAATTCAGTGAGCTACATGTAGGTGTTGCATGTCAAACTCATGAACATGGTTAAATAAAATACAGAAGACAGAAATGAATGAAAAACTTACAGTAAAACTAGGAAATAATGAAATACAGAAATACTAACAAAAGAAACTTACAAACATGTGTAGAAATGTCCAGCTGGCTCAATGAAAACCGATAGAAGGAAAAACAAATGCAAACCTAAATTCGAACAAACCTGGCAATTTTGCCTGGTCCTGTGCCTAACCAAAATACCGCTGGTTAAGTGAAACCAAAGAACCAAACTTTAACAAACAAAAAATGAGAAAATAAAATAGAGGAAAAAACAGAAAAACAGAAACTACATGCAGTCACTTTTATACCTAAAATGAGTATCACGAGAATTTATCCTTAAAGTATGCATCGAGGACATTATGGAAGGGCGCCTATAGATTTTCATCGCCTGCAATATCACGGGTCGCGACAAGCCTTAGTTTGTGTGCTCACAAGGATACCAGCGCATGATGGCACGTTTCTATCGGCGAGATTCTGTAATGATTATTGACTGCTTGCAAACCAAAGAGTCTCCAGGGTCTTTTCTTAGTGCAATAATGGCAGAGGCAGGACTTGCTTAAGATCAAAGCAGGGCCAGAAACTCTAGTGAGCATGTCATGATCGGGTTGGATTATTCGGCCATTATCATTGGGTAGAGCAATGCAAAACTAATATAATATTATTTATAACACAGCTTACATAAATGCTCTATTGAGGAAGAAATCTTCTTAGAAAACAAACTATTCACAGGGAAAATTGAAATTAAGACAATCCTTAATTACAAACTGTAAAATAATATATAATCATTCACATTTTTAAAGGTACAAAATAAAAACGAAGGAGAAAACTGGAGCTGTGTGCACTGAGCTGTGCAGACGTGTTTTGTGTGCTCCAATCTTAATTCACGAATTCTTCTCTTATCCTGAACCTTCATATTCTGAAAACCATTCAGTATGACAGGTAATGACAAGGTACAAAAGGAAAATCAAACTTTGCGAAATGAAATTAAAGAATTAAAGAACAAACTACAGAAAGTTATTGATGACCTGTCAAAGAGTCAACTTGGCTGACAGGCAGAACGTATTAATTAGATCACTTATTATTTAATAACTTCTGTGTTTTATAATTTTATTTTTGGCTACAATCTGCAAGGCTTTCTAATAGTTTAAGGTTTTTGCTTTAGATTAGATAATTGTGTTATTCATGTACTTGTCTTGCCCAGCCACAACTAGCTTTCCAGCCATTTGCGGGGCAAACTATCCAACTCTTTTATTTTTGTACAAAGAATAAAGTTGTTGTTGTTGGTGTACTAGTTGCACTCACATTCATGTAGAATCACAAAACCAAAACCTTTATAAGGACATACATGTACAGTCTGTCCGTATACATAATTAACCAAGCAAAATGCAATGTTCATTATAATAATGTACATTTTATCCCTTACAGATAATATAGTACATGGTATATAAAGTGATCAGAAGAATCAACTAAAATCAAAAGAGGTAAATTATGAAATGTGTTTATACATTATTAAAGCAGAGATGCCACCCTCTGAAAATCTAAAATCTGGACACTCTGTCTCTTGCATTCTCCCCACCCTGAATATCAACAACCAACACACCCCCCCCTAAACCCCAAAACACCACCAGCACCCTACAACCCCGACACCCCGATAACCTTAGGACATAAAATGACATCTTACTTGAGGTACAGACTAGCACAATTCGCTTCTATGATCGTAATGGTGAAATAATCTTGTCAGGGATGAAATAAGTACAAAAATTCCCCGGAAATGAGGGCGGGCAGTTCACGGGAATAAAAACAGACTTTTCACAAATCACGCAAAATTCAGCGTTTGATTTTATTTGTCGCCCATATAGTATTGCAAAACTGAGGTATCAACTACTGTGCATACACAAGAAATTGTTTTCACACCCTACAATACTAAATTTATGATAATTCACAACTGCTTTTGATCATGTGATGTCTAGAGGTGTTTAGGATGAGCATGGCATTTTGTTCATCTTTGTTGACAGACTTGACCTTGATATATCAAAATCCTTGAAAGTTTACATTGAATATTTCACAAAAAATTAGCTAATTATAGACTATGTTCATGAACCTTGACAAATATTTCACGAATCACGCGATTACTTTTGTTCACCGATTATGAAAAAAAATTCTTTTGGTCATGATTCACGGCAATTAAAAATAGGCGTTCACTGTTCACGGAAAACCCCCTTTCCGACACTCCGAATCGAACTGAACTATGCATCGAAGAAAATTCAAATTTTGGGAGAAAATGGGATAAATTATGCACAGAAAAGCTCATAACTTGAGATTTGGTGACCCATATCGGGGACCAGGAGATTGGTGTGGTTTCTAGAAGAGTAAGCATGTATGTTTTGGCATGATGGGTGAACTTGACATAGAGAAGGTCAAAATGAATTCAAATAATTATTTGTGTGATTGATGACATAACACAATGCTACATATCCCACTCATTTTAAGGGTCTTTAGGGTTTTATAGATTCAACATAGAATTAAAAAAAACAAATGTCAAACAACTAAACCATCAGTACAGCAGCTATACATAATTATATTAAGGTCAATATAATTATAATCCTTTCTTTGTCCATTACAGATAATATGATCATAAGAATGGTCTAAAAGAATTCAATTGAAGACAGGAGTCAAGAGGTAAATTATTGTTCTGGATTATTACATAACAAAATTGATACTGTGTTAAATAACCTAATATGCAACAAGGTCACATAGAATGCAAACCCAATCTTCCTTAAACTAATACATAGAGGATTTCATAATTTATGAATCATTGATTAATATACAACCAGGTCACCTAGGATTTAAACCCAGTGCACTATAACTATTATTATTACTATTATTGGACTACTATTACTTAGAGACTATTAGATAGAACTTCCTATTAAAACTAGAGAAACTGGGATTCAAGCCCAGTAACCAGTCAATGATAGATAGAACTTACTATTAAAACTAGAGAAACTGGGATTCAAGCCCAGTAACCAGTCAATGATAGATAGAACTTACTATTAAAACTAGAGAAACTGGGATTCCAACCCAGCAAGCAAGGGAGACAAGAGCTCCCTGGACTGATACTTCAGTCAATGATAGATGGAACTTACTATTAAAACTAGATAAACTGGCATTCAAGCCCAGCATGCAAGGGACAGAAGAGCTCCATGGACTGATACTTCAGTCAATGATAGATGGAAGTTACTATTAAAACAAGATAAACTGGGATTCAAGCCCAGCAAGCAAGGGAGACAAGAGCTCCCTGGACTGATACTTCAGTCAGTGATAGATGGAAGTTACTATTAAAACTAGATAAACTGGGATTCCAGCCCAGCAAGCAAGGGAGAGAAGAGCTCCCTGGACTGATACTTCAGTCAATGATAGATGGCAGTTACTATTAAAACTAGATAAACTGGGATTCAAGCCCAGCAAGCAAGGGAGACAAGAGCTCCCTGGACTGATAACTTCAGTCAGTGATAGATGGAAGCTACTATTAAAACTACCGGTAGATAAACTCGGATTCCAGCCCAGCACACAAGGGAGACAGGAACTCCCTGGACTGATACTTCAGTCAATGATAGATGGCAGTTACTATTAAAACTAGATAAACTGGGATTCAAGCCCAGCAAGCAAGGGAGACAAGAGCTCCCTGGACTGATAACTTCAGTCAGTGATAGATGGAAGCTACTATTAAAACTAGATAAACTCGGATTCCAGCCCAGCAAGCAAGGGAGACAGGAACTCCCTGGACTGATACTTCAGTCTATGGCAGATGAAACTTGCTATTAAAACTAAGTAAACTGGGATTCCAACCCAGCAAGCAAGGGAGACAGGGGCTCCCTGGACTGATACTTCAGTCAATGAGAGATGAAACTTACTGTTAAAAGAAAGCATTTACAGGGATTCCTACGCAGCAAGCGATATAAGTAATACCTTGAGTGATACTACAGTCTATTATGCAGGCAGTTGAACCTTTAATTATACCCTAATTCTAGAATTAAATGAAGTGCATTACATCTTTACCTTTAATTATTAATAGTATTGTACTGTTTGAGCAGCAGCAATTCTTTCAATAAATTTAAAATAGCAGCTTTAAGTAGTAAAAGGGGATTCCAAAAACAAAGTTGGCCTATTGTTGCCAATACAGTGGCCTCAAGCCAGGTGGAGGGTTTCGTGCGTTCCACAGGGTGCTTGTCTACTTACGCGTGGAGAGTGGTACTGAGCCATCAGTTACACCGAGGTCTGGGTGGTCGCCTCTGACCGACAGGTGATGTATTGGGCACCTGATAAGAAAACGGCCATTGCACTCAAGTGCTTATCGACTCAATCTGCAGTGGTGCAGAACTTTACGAGTGATACTGCACGGGCCGAAGCGGTGTACCGCTCATCGGGTCATGCCATATCTCAGCTTCTGTCACGAAACAAGTCTGTTGTAAGCGCTCATGCCCAGGTGTCCCGGTCTGGACGCAAGCGGAGGTCCCCCAATTTATGTGGCCGTTGCACTCACGTGCGTCTCGGATACTGCACAGGCCACCTGCCTTTTCATTAGGTCATGCCATATCTCAGCTTTTGTCTAAGCCTTTAAATTTTGGGGTTTTTTTTACTAAAAATTTTTCGGTTCTTTCAGGTTTTCTTGGAAATTGTTGTTGCTCTGTGAATTTTGTAACTGATTTTCAAAGTAATATGCACTTACGGCGACTGGGATTTAAGCCCAGCAAATATTGGAGACAGGAGCTGCCTGGACTGAAACTTCAGTTAGTGATAGATGGAACTTACTATTAAAACTAGAGAAACTGTGATTCAAACCCAGCAAGCAAGGGAGACAGGAGCTCCCTGGACTGATACTTCAGTCAATGATAGATGGAACTTACTATTAAAACTAGATAAACTGGGATTCAAGCCCAGCAAGCAAGGGAGACAAGAGCTCCCTAGACTGATACTTCAGTCAATGATAGATGGAACTTACTATTAAAACTAGATAAACTGGGATTCCAACCCAGCAAGCAAGGGAGACAGGAGCTCCCTGGACTGATACTTCAGTCAATGATAGATGGAACTTACTATTAAAACTAGATAAACTGGGATTCAAGCCCAGCAAGCAAGGGAGACAAGAGCTCCCTGGACTGATACTTCAGTCAATGATAGATGGAACTTACTATTAAAACTAGATAAACTGGGATTCCAACCCAGCAAGCAAGGGAGACAGGAGCTCCCTGGACTGATACTTCAGTCAATGATAGATGGAACTTACTATTAAAACTAGATAAACTGGGATTCAAACCCAGCAAGCAAGGGAGACAAGAGCTCCCTGGACTGTTACTTCAGTCACTGATAGATGGAAGTTAGTATTAAAACTAGAGAAACTGGGATTCCAACCCAGCAAGCAAGGGAGACAAGAGCTCCCTGGACTGATACTTCAGTCAATGATAGATGGAACTTACTATTAAAACTAGATAAACTGGGATTCCAACCCAGCAAGCAAGGGAGACAGGAGCTCCCTGGACTGATACTTCAGTCAATGATAGATGGAACTTACTATTAAAACTAGATCAACTGGGATTCAAACCCAGCAAGCAAGGGAGACAAGAGCTCCCTGGACTGTTACTTCAGTCAATGATAGATGGAACTTAGTATTAAAACTAGAGAAACTGGGATTCCAACCCAGCAAGCAAGGGAGACAGAAGCTCCGTTGACTGATACTTTAGTCAATGATAGATGGAACTTACTATTAAAACTAGAGAAACTGGGATTCCAACCCAGCAAGCAAGGGAGGCAGGAGCTCCCTGGACTGATACTTCAGTCAGTGTTAGATGGAACTTACTATTAAAACTAGATAAACTGGGATTCAAACCCAGCAAGCAAGGGAGACAAGAGCTCCCTGGACTGTTACTTCAGTCAATGATAGATGGAACTTACTATTAAAACTAGATAAATTGGGATTCAAGCCCAGCAAGCAAGGGAGACAAGAGCTCCCTTGAGTAATACTTCAGTCAATGATAGATGGAACTTACTATTAAAACTAGATAAACTGGGATTCAAACCCAGCAAGCAAGGGAGACAGGAGCTCCCTGGACTGATACTTCAGTCAGTGATAGATGGAACTTACTATTAAAACTAGATAAACTGGGATTCAAACCCAGCAAGCAAGGGAGACAAGAGCTCCCTGGACTGTTACTTCAGTCAATGATAGATGGAAGTTACTATTAAAACTAGAGAAACTGGGATTCTAATCCAGCAAGGAAGGGAGACAAGAGCTCCCTGGAGTGATACTTCAGTCAATGATAGATGGAACTTACTATTAAAACTAGATAAATTGGGATTCAAACCCAGCAAGCAAGGGAGACAAGAGCTCCCTGGACTGTTACTTCAGTCAATGATAGATGGAACTTACTATTAAAACTAGATAAATTGGGATTCCAACCCAGCAAGCAAGGGAG